CTCCTCGCCCTCCTCCTTCCTCCTCCTCCTCCTCCTCTCTCTCCCTCCTCTCTCGTCCTCTCCTCCTCCTCGTCCCTCCTCCTCCTCCTCGTCCCTCCTCCTCGTCCCTCGTCCTCGTCCTCGTCATCCTCCTCCTCCTCCTCCTCCTCCTCCTCCTCTGCCTCCTCCTCCACCTCCGCCTCCACCTCCACCACCTCCTCCTCCACCACCTCCTCCGCCTCCTCCCCGTGCCCGCGTGCCCACGGCCCGAGGGATCGACCTCTGGGGGCCTCGGCAGATTCGGCGGACCTGGATCGGACCCCCCAGGCGGGGGGAGACATGCAATGGGGGCCCGTGCGCCCGTCGGGCCAGTCGGTCTTTTGTTTTCGATCTGCACGGTCGAGACCCAGACAGGATGGCGTCGTGAGCAAGCATCCGGGCGGGAGGTCTGTGGCCCATCTGGGCAAAGAGCGACTCGGGATACGAAGAGCCGGTCCCGGGGAAAGGGTCGGGACTCCCAGGGACCCCGTACAGTGGAGACCCATGCCAAGAAACACACTGCCTGCCTCCAGAGCGCGACGTTCCCGCACCAAAGATCAAGGGACGTCCCGGGGTCTCAGGGTTGGGTTTCTTGTGGAAGGTTTCGTGTCCCCACTGTACCCTGAGATCCGACGTCTCGAAAAAATGTCCGTGGGGAGGAACGTGCGACGCCAGGATCTCGGGGTATCCACCGACCTCCTGCTGGGGCCCCCGAAGATGGATCCCCCGGGCGACGGTCATGTGGACAGGTCCCCACTGGAGGGTTTCACCGAAGGGCTTAGGCGACCCGTCCTCCCCCTCCTCCTCCGTCTCCTCCTCCTCCTCCTCCTCCTCCTCCTCCTCCTCCTCCTCCTCAACCTCCTCCTCCTCCTCCTCCTCCTCCTCCTCCTCCTCCTCCTCGGGTCGCCTAATTACTGCCCCGGGGGAAGCCGCGCAGCCCCCGCCCCGCCAGGAGCCGGAACCGGCGGTCCTCGGACCGCGGCCGCAGCAGGAGCCGCGACAGGCGGTCGGGGGGCCGCAGGTCCCCGGAGCGCGGCGGGCGGGACAAGAAGCGCAGCCGCTCCGCCGCGCGGAAGAGGTCGTCGGACAGCCCCCCGCGGCGGCGTGGCCGGGACCAGGCGCGTGGGGCGGCCGAGGCACAGCTTCGGATCGGTTCTACACGCACGGCGGGCGTGCCCCTCTACAGGAGGAAAGTGCAACGATTGGCGAAACATGCTCTGGGGTCGCTTTTGTTTATTCTTTTTGCAAATTTCCCCGCACTTGTTTTGAGTATTCTTAATTTTTCGCCCCAGATCCGCCTGTAGGGGGACATGCCCGACCTATGACTGCACGCAAGAGTGACCTTTCCCCAGGGGGACCTCTTGGTACGGGCCCCACGGGGCCCCCCGATCGCCGAATGCGCGGCGATGGCAGCGGTTGGCGCGCGCGGCGGTGTCCCCAACGGGCCCCCCTTTGCCGCGCACTGATGGTCACTCTTGCCCACTCTAGGTTTCTTAATAAGCGTGGGAGGGCCCCCCCCCGACGGGAGTCAACATCGCCTCGTCTTCGCGCCGCGACGGGGGTCGGCGCGCCTTCAGCGCGCGGTGGCTGCCCGCGACGGGGGCCGTTGTGGGGCTGTCTGAGTAAGAAGCTCGGAGTAGGGTTAAGTCGGGCCTGCCCCTCTACGGGATGAGAATCCAAATAGAATAACAAAAAAGTCTGGGGACGATTGATCGATTCTGTTGTGTGACTGTTTTGGCGTATTTTTATAACTATTTTGAATTGTCCTTCAAAATCTGCCTGTAGGAGGACATGCCCGACCTAAGAGTAGGGTCACCTCTCGCGTGTAGCCGAAGCTTGGGGACAACGTCGGGCGGGGGGGGACAGGGCTCAGCGGGGGGGGCACATCGTCCCTCAAAAGCGCTTATGTTGTGGGCGACGATCAGTGGAGAGGAAGCATGCTGCCAAATCATTAGCCCGAAAAGCGTGATTTAAACATATCTGAAGCATGTAAGAACATGGTCTGAACAGTCTTGTAGCACTTTCAAGCATTTTAGGGCAGGGTTCAATGATAGCATCAGATTTTGAACACCTTTAGAGCACCTTTTTCATTCCATGATCGGAGTGTTGGGGTGTCCATTGTCAGACCCCCGACGTCATGATTTTTGGGAGGTCTCGACCCATTCCCCTGGACCGTTTTTTTATCCCGAGTCGTTTTTTGACGGTCCGAGGCCCAGCGAGGGCCCCCCGGGCCGAAAATAGCGAACAACCTCCCGTCGTGGTTTTTTCATTGCCCGAGGGGGTCTGGGTTGTCATGGCATCCACGACGCTGGTGCGTCGCCGATAAGGGGCTGGACAGACCACCCCGCTCCAGGGACGTGCGGAGTCCCTGTCGCGGGCCCACCGCCGGTCTGGCGGCGACGCCGCGCCGGTCCCAGCTCGACGCCTCCCCCCCTGAGTCCATCCTCCCCTATACAGTCAAGCCTCTGAAATAAGGAACGCTTTGGGCTCAGGAGGGGCTCGGGTTTTCGGGCCGTTCCTTCGGTCTAGGTCGGGGAACCTGTCTGTGGCCGAGGTTCGCCGCGGCCCAAAAGCCCGTTCGTTCCTTATTTGGCGTTCCTTGTGGTAGCACGATGGCTGTAACGCAGGACCCAGACCCCCTCGGGCAACGACAAAAGTCACGACGGGAGGTTTTCCGCCATTTCCGGCTTCGGGGGGTGGCCCCTGCTGGCCCCCGGGACCGTAAACAAAGCGACTCGGGAGGAACAAGCTCGTCCAGGGGAAGGGGCCGTCGATACAGACCTCCAGGAGCTGGCGTGATTTGAAAAAATCATGACGTCCAGGCACAATTCAGCGCCGATCTCCCGGGGAAAGGAAGGAACACAAGGGAGGTGGGGGGGAGGGGACGACACAAACCCAGGACAGACGGGAAGGTAGTGGGAATCCTGGGGCTCGTGCCTATCTATCTGTGCGGGTTCCTGGGCCCCTTGAAGAAACGCTCCCCCTCAACCACAGCGGGGCGGCCGAACCGCGGCGGGTCCCCGACCTCCCCGCTGCGCGGAGCAGAACACGCGCGACGGGAGGTTTCTGGTACTTTTTTCCGGCCTTCGGACCCCAGGGCCGTCAGCTCAAACTGGTCCGGGGCGACAGGCTGCCCACCGGCGAAGAGGTCTGGACCCCTCACGAGGCCCAGAGGGCCCCAGGGTTAAGTCGGGCCTGTCCCCCTACAGGGGGGTTCTCGATGACAAATAAAAAATACCCCAAACATAATCCAAAAATAATCCAAAAATAGTCTGGGGACTATTCTTTGTATATGTGTTTTGACCTTTTGGGGGCATTTTTAGATCATTTTTCATTTTGCGTCGAAAATCCCCCTGTAGGGGCGCACGCCCGACATAACCCCAGGGAAAAGGCTGGGCACCTCGAGCCAGGGGCCCCTTTTAGCAGCCCCCGATGCGTGGGGTCCGTGTCGCTCGATCTTCACCGCCCACCGCACCACCCCGACCCAACCCGAAGGCCACGAGTTGCCGTCCATTTCCAGTGGGGGGAGGTCGGGAAACATAGCAAAAACACACATGAAGCCCGTACCCCCCCCCAACCCGAAATTCGGGTCTTCGGGTTGGGTCGGGGTGGTCTGGCAGGAAGTCTGATCTGGGCCCGAGAGGCCCTCCTGCCCAGGAGCGACACGTCGCCGACCCATCGGCGACGCGTCGCCGATCCCAGCCGCTCTCTTCCAGAGTCTGAGGCCAGATCCGCCGCTCCGGAGGCGCTGCCTCCCAGCGGCTTGGGAAGCGGAGGGTGTGGACTTGTCAGACGGCCCACATCGGGCTTGCGGCCGCACAGTCGAAGCGAGGTACAAGATCGAGGTCGGCTCGGGGAGGGTGCCCCGGCGTTCTCTCCGTGCCTGTTGGCTGTTCTTGTGCATCCCGGGGGGGGGTACCCTCGGGTGCTCTGATTGTTTTCGCCGACGGCGGGTCTCGTGTTCTTGAGGGGTGTTCTTCTGGCCTGGGTCCGACGGTACTCCAGAGGCTGTGGATGCGGACGCTTCTTCAGGCGGCTGCCCCCCTCGCCGCCCACGCAGGCGGCGGAACCCCTCACGGGGCCGTCTCTTCACCGGCAGGCCTGGCCCGCAAGCTGCCCCGCGTGCGGCCGCGCGTGAGCGCCGCCGCCTCCAGCGCGGCGCGCCGCACTGGCGGCCCGCGTAAGGCACCGCGGGAAGTCATCGGCCTGACCAAAGGAACGATAAATAAGGAACGAGGCCCCTTTTTTATCCCAAGGGATAACGCCTAAGGAACGAGAAATAACAGATAACGCATAAGGAGCTGTAGATAACGCATGCAAGCCTAAGGAACGACCGAGCCCCTTTTGAAAAGTAAGTGTTCCTTATTCAAGCCGCTCGCTGTAAGGTCGGTATGCCATCTCGCGCACTGTTACGTCGGGCCTGTCCCTCTACAGGAGGAGTATCCCAAAATAGTCCAAACATAGTCCGGGGGCGATTTTTCTATCATGTTTGATCATTTGGGGATTATTGTTTGATTCTTGTTTTGCAATTTTCGTCCAAAATCCCTCTGTAGGCGGACAGGCCCGACCTGAGCGTACAGCCGGCCCGTATCATGCAAGGGCCTCGGACGCCCATTTCGAAGCTTCTCGAGCGGGGCGCGGCCAACGAGAGTGGCCAATGATGTACCGAGGACACAGGGATGAGAGGGTACCCCCTTTGAAAGGCTGCCCATCCTCACTGTGCAGATTGACCACGAGACCCGTTGCTGATCGTCGCTCGTGTGGCGCTTCCGCCCCCCTGGCAGGACCGGCGCCGCTCTCCGTCTCGCTCGCGCCGCCGCTCCCCGTCGCGCTCGAAGCGCTCGCGCTCGAAGCGCTCGCGCTCGAAGCGCTCTCGCTCGCGCCGCCGCTCCCCGTCGCGCTCGCGCTCGCGGCGCCGCTCGCCGCCGCGCGCCGCCGCTCCACCGGCGCCGCAGCCAGCTCCGAGTGCACCGGCGGCTGCCATGGGCGCAGGCGCCTCGCCCTCTGCCTGCGCCTGCCGATGCATGTCTGGGTGCTCCTGCTCCGGATGCTTCCTGACCCCGCTCCCTCCTGCTCGGGTTCCTCGTGCTCCTGCTGCCTCCTCCTGCTCCTCCTCCTCCTCCTCCTCCTCCTCCTCCTCGTCCTTCTCCTGCTCCTCCTCCTCGTCCCTCTTCTGCTCCTCCTCCTCGTCCTTCTTCTGCTCCTCCTCGTCCTCCTCCTGCTCCTCCTACTTTCCCTCCTTCGCCTCCTCCTCCTCCTCCTCCTCCTCCTCCTCCTCCTCCTCCACCTCCTTCTCCTCCTCCTCCCCCATCCTTTTCCTTATTGATAACTCCTCCCTG